GAGGGGAGGGGAAGGAAAGGGAAGGAGAAGGGGAAGGGAAGGGGAAGGGGAAGGGAACGGAAAGGGAAGGGAAGATTACGGAGCAGTATAGAAGTGGAAGGGGAGGGGAGAAGGGGAGAGAAGGGGAAGGGAAGGGGAAGGGGAAGGGAACGGAAAGGGAAGGGAAGATTACGGAGCAGTATAGAAGTGGAAGGGGAGGGGAGAAGGGGAGAGAAGGGGGAGGGGAAGGGAAGGGGAGGGAGGGGGAGGGGAGGAGAAGGGGAGGGAGGAGGAGGGGAGGGGAAGGGAAGGGGAAGGGGAAGGGAAGATTACCGAGTGGTATAGAAGTAGAAGGGAAGGAAAGACGGGGGAGGGGAGGGGAGGGGAGGAAAGATTACAGAGTGGTATAGAAGTAGACAATGGAGTAATGTTGACCAGGGATGGGGCAGGAGGATGTGGGGAATTTTTGTACAATGGGTGTAAAGTTGCAGTTATACAGATGAGTAACTTCTGGAGATATGCTGTACAACATAGTGCCTGTAGTTAACAGTAAGATATTTACTTCAAAATGTGTTCAGAGGGCAGATCTCATGTTGGGTCCTTACCTCCCCATCCGCCCCAAAAAAATAGACACAAGTAAACTTTGGGAGGTGCTTTATGTTTGTTACTGGATTGTAGTGACAGTAACATGAGTGTATGCATGTGCCTAAACTCACCAAATTACATCCATTATGTGCGGTTTTCTACAAACCAGTTATACCTCAACAAAGCTAGGGCAAAGAGGGAAAAAAATGCAACCAGAAAGAAAAGACGTTACCTACGGAGAAACTACAATTAAACTGGCAAGTTTGTCCGTAACAAAAATGAAGACAGATGACAATGGAACAAAATGTTTAGCAGGTAACAAGCACTCGGCAAATGAGCAATAAACCTTGCTACACCTCTCAAAGAAAATATTATGGAGAAATAATAAATCACTCTCTCGGTGTTTGTTTTCCTTTCTCATGGAGTGCAGTATTATTCACTCCCAAGTCCCTAGGGCCCTAGGGAAAGTTCTCCTGGGAAAATTAAAGAGAAACAGAAACAGAAAGCTGTCACATGGGAAAACAATTCTGTTTTTGTTTCTTCAATGAGGAAAGTAACAGAGAAGCAGATTTTGCTAAAGAATTAGTACTTCTTAACATTCCAAGTTTTCCCCAAGACAGAAAAGGAGGGTAGGAGGCGGTGGGTTCCCATTCTGGGACGTGTTCACCGACAGACTGGCCATCACGTGGTAGAAATGTCCCAGGGGGCCATAAGGAAATGCCTGCCCAATGGCCTTGCAGCGTCCTCCAGGGCTCTGAGTCGCACTCTAGGATGGGGCATTGGTCTTTTGCAGGGTGACTGTCTCTGACCAGGTAATAAGACTCTGACAGAAGCCCAGGGGAGTTAGCAAGAGCCTCACAGCCCAAAGCACTGCAATGCTCTATAGAACAGCAATCCTGAAATGTGGACTTTGTCACCACCCTAGGAGGACAGCCTCCACCCACTCTACCGCACGTCTACCGAGGGCCTTGGGGAAGGACGTCCAAGGAAGACACCCCTAAAGAAGGGGCAGGCCCCTGTCTTCTGTTGCCAGCATCTTCCCAGTCTCCTTTTGAGGGTGACTCCAGCTCCCATAACCCAAATCCTGTCCACTGCTCAATACCCTGGAAAAGGTCCACAGAGAAAGTCCAAGTGGTTCTGAGGGGGTTCCCAGGGCCCATAGCCATCCATACACATCTGAGACCTCTGCGAAAGCCACACAAAGTCAATTTGACTTTGTCTCCCTTTTCTCAGGCCATCCTTTTGGCCTTGCAGTCCGTGTGTGTGTGTTTATTTTAAGAGCTTTGCTCATCATTTGTTAAGGAATATATATGACTGGAGGGTTGTACATGTTTGTACATAAGAAGTTACACAAGGAATCATAGAAACACACTGCCGGATGGAGAACCACCTTAATGATGAGGTTTATCTAAAAAGCTGGAGTTTTTGCCAATCACTTGAAGAGAAGTGTTCAGTGTCATCTGTAATATGAGAGACAGAAGATGGTTAGACTCACATACACACAGGTGAGCTCACTAAGGCCCCAACTAAATGCCTGGCCTTCCTCAGGAAAAGTGAAGCCATCTATCTTGAGCCCCTGTCAAGTACCAGGACCTGATTGCTTTGACCTGATTACAGGACCCTGTCTGTAACCCTGCCAGCAGCCCATGGGTTCTGTGCAGTGGAAGTGAGACTCTGAGAGGTTAAGTAACCAACCTCGGCATATAGCCAGGAAGTGGCAGATCCTGGATCCCAGCTTTCTCCATCTCCACAGCTCTTTCCACCCCATCCCTCAATCCTGTGCTGATCCAACATACTTTAGCCAGGTTGGAAGGAAGAATATCAGTAGCTGTCTCCCAACCTTGGGCCTTGTCTCCTAGGATCTGTAAGCGTTCAGGTAGACATCCAACCAGTGGCAGCCTCCCTCCCAAAGGTTGCGGAAGTCCCCATTTGCTGGGGAAAACCCTGTTTCTTGGAAAGCACCAGCAGAGGCTGGCGGTGGGCTACTGTGCCCACCCAGGGAGTACCTGTGGCTCTGCCTGGGATCAGCAATAAGGCTCGTGGTCCTCACTGGGTGTCCCAGCCTCCTACCTTTGAAGCCATCGTGCTGTCTTCAGTTGCCACCTAGCTCTGTGCATGGAGAGGCTGTGCATGACCTGGATGCAAAATAGGTACAGGGAGGAGCAATTAAGAATCAGGAGGCTCTGAAGTTGGACTGGCCAAGGTGGAATCCGGCTCCACCACTCACTGGTTACCCAATGTTAAGCACAACATTTAGTCTCTGTAAGCCTCCATTTCTTCACTGTGAAGTGGGTCTACCAATCACCTGCCGGTCACTGTAAGGAGTATATGAGATGAGCCATATTACCACTTAGCATGGGGCCTGGTGCCAGAAACTAGCTACTCTCACTGTTGGAGGGAAAGTCATGATCATTCTTGTTTTTGACCATGCCACTGAGCAGGCCATGGCCTGGGAGAAATCACTTTTCCTCCCAAGCTTCCTTTTTTTTCCCCCCTGGTGAAATGAGTGATCTTGACAGCATCACCTATAAGGATCCCTGCAGTGTTTACAACTTGATGACTTTGGTTGGATCACTTTTAGGTAGTCGAGATCCTAAGGACACCCTGGAATCTGGTTTTGTCTGCAGACTTTTATAAATTGGTTTCTTAACTCCAATATTCAGTCTTACTCCCAGGAGCATCTAGGGAATGTGGGTACGTTTAACATCCAGACGTTAGGCATCAATGGCACTATCGATGATCATCTGATGCCTCTGGCTGAGAAGTCTACTTTGCTTGCTGTTGGCCCCTGTACAAAAAAAAAAAAAAAAAAAAAAAAAAAAAAACACTTATCAGCACCTTCTCAGCCAGAGAAGTGGCCAAACAGCCTTCCCAGGAGGGAGGCAAAAAAAAAGGCCAGTGACTCCGGGAATCTACAGATCTGAGAAACTTCCAGCCCGTCATGGGATACTGGTTGTGTGCTCTACAGACCTGAGCCTTGGATCCCTTTCCCAGGATCTCTAGATCTTAGGAGGAGGCAAAAGTAATGATGAGACCTGTCCTCATTTCCTCAACCTACCACAAAGTATTGCAAACGGAATGACTCAAAACAATAGAAGTGTATTGTTTCACAGTTCTGCAGGCCAGAAGACAAAAATCAGGGAGTCTGTGATGGTTGCTTCCTTCTGAGAGCTGTGCGGGAATCTGCTCTGTGCCCGTCTCCCAGCTTCTGGTGTCTGCCGGCCATCCTTTGCGTTCCTTAGCTTGTGGATGTGTCAGCCCAATATCTGCCTCAATCATCGCGTGACCTTCTTGTGTGTGAATCGTCACATCTCCCCTCTATGCACATCTGTCTCTGTGTCCAAATTTCCGCCTTCTGTAAGGACACTAGTCATGTTGGATTAGAGTCTACCATAATGGCCTCATTTTCACTTGATTTAACTATTACCTCTCTAAAGGCATTTCTAACAGGGTAACATTCTGAGGTACTGAGACTTAGGACTTCAATATATACTTTTGGGGGGACACCATTCCACCTATCACAAGGTCCTTGGACTATTTTCATTATCTCCAAGGGTATAAGAATTAAACATTTCTTCCTACTGATTCTTAATAATTCTGTTTATTAAGTGCACAGACTCTAGAGATTACCTGGGTTTGAATCTTGGCTCTGCCACTTACTAGCTGTGTGATCTTGGGAAACCTATTGGGCCCCTATGTGTTCAGTTTCCTCAACTGTAAAATAGGAATAATAGTAATATTTACACCTCTTAGAGTTCATATAAACATTAAATAAAAACACATTTACAATCCCTCAACTTATCCGTCTTCTATATCCTACCACATTTGGAAAAGGCTCCATCTAATAAAAACAGTAGAAGTATCTACAATACTTACCATGTGCCAGGTGCTAGTCCAAACACTGTTGTGTACATCAACTCATGGCACCATTGCAGCAACTTTCTAAGGTCGGTGCTAGTGTCATCCGTGTTATACAGAAGCAAAAACTAAGCCCTAGAGAGATCAAGTCATATAGGTACAGCCCTGCAGCCACTAAGGGGAGAAGTTAGGACCCAAATCCAGATTTGTCTGACTCCAGGGCCTTTTAGGAGCCACTGGGACTGGTTGACTGCCTAGGAATAATAAAAGGGTCTTGTAAGGATGAAAAGAATCACAGGCCACCACCTTTGCTTGCCCAGAAAGTCATTCTGTTTTCAAAGGCCTGATTCTGAAGGCTTTTCCTATAGTGGTGATCTGTGCTCAGAAAACATACTCGTTTCCTTACAACAGGCCCCGTACGTGAAGGGCACGTGTCTCTCTTCCAGGCCCTAGGATGGCTTTGGAAGGCCCCCACCCCAACCCAGGAGAGCCAGGGAGAAGCAAACCATGATATCTTCCCCCCAGGGAACAATGGTCGTTTGCCTGACATCTTGACTCTGTGGTTTTGTGTCTTCTAGGGAAGTCAGTTAGAACTGCTGTGCTGATCAAGGGGATGCTCTGTCTTTGAAGAAAGAAGAAATGGTCCCTCCCCAGCCATGGGCCACCCTCGCCAGTGACTCCAAATGGAACTGCTTAGCTCGTGTGTGCCTGGAGGGGGCAGAAGCCCAGCAACTCTCAGACGCACCTCCCAGAGGACCGGTGGGAATTGTTCATAGTGCCAAAGTCCTACTACTGCGTTTTCAATGGGTCCTTGTACATAGTTTGCTCCTCTGCCCTAGCCCTCACCTCTTGCTATACTGGAACTGATTTGTACAATATGGGAATTTTGTTACCTTTTTAATCAAGGGCAACTTCCTTTTCCAGCACTACCATTGTAAGGATTTTTTCAGGAGGGAGGGCTAACCACCTTGCTTTTCTCTTTTCTCCTTTTCTTTTTTTATTTTTGTTTTATTAATTTGGGGAAAGGGGTGTTAGTATTAGTGCCATGATATCTACTGGATTTTAAGTAGGGAGACTTTATTTTTAAAGGTAGGTTGAAATTTGGGAGATTTCTCGGCAGGAAGGGCTGAAATCCAGGCCTCTGTCTCAACCTGGAGAGAGGTGACAGGCGACAGATCCTCCAAATCAAATTCCTTTCCAGTTCTTCCCCTGGCTGCTTTTTTGGGGGGTCCCTGCCTTACTCCAACAGAAGGCTTTATGAACTGCCAAGAGGGGATCTGGCTTCGCAAATTCTTGGCCTCTTGGGCCAGGCTGTGTCCAGCCAGCCCTGGGAGAACTGGGTAGCAGGTGGCTGAGTTCTTTAAGCACCTTTCTTTTTTTTTTTTTTTTTTTTTTGAGACGGAGTCTTTTGCTCTGTCGCCCAGGCTGGAGTGCAGTGGCACCAACTCGGCTCACTACAAGCTCCGCCTCCTGGGTTTACGCCATTCTCCTGCCTCAGCCTCCCGAGTAGCTGGGACTACAGGCGCCCGTCACCTCGCCCGGCTGGTTTTTTGTACTTTTAGTAGAGACGGGGTTTCACCGTGTCAGCCAGGATGGTCTCGATCTCCTGACCTTGTGATCCGCCCGTCTCGGCCTCCCAAAGTGCTGGGATTACAGGCGTGAGCCACCGCGCCCGGCCTCTTTAAGCACCTTTCTAAATACCAGCGGAAGAGGCTCCTGCTTCTGTTAGTATGATCAGTACTATTGTGACATTAAAACAACAACAATAAGATCTTCCTATCTGGAGGGTACAAAGGTGAATGGCTTTGGTTTTCATTTCTCTTCTTCACTGCCTTTTCTCGGTGTGGTATTTGACAAGATTTTAGCTCAAAGCCTCACCATGAATTGATTTTTTTTGTTTGTGTGTGTGTTTGTTTTGGGAAAATTTTAGATACCTGAGTGCACTTTTTTTCAGTTAGCCCTACCTTTTAAAAGAAGGAAAACCAAGAGACATATCTGGTGTACATGTTGCAATATGAATTCTGGTTGCAATCCCTCCCCCGTCCCACATTGCCCCCCATTTGAGTACACCACACAAGTCAATTGCTAGGAAGTTTGAATAAAACCAATTTTTCTAACTTGTCGCTCATTTGTTGTAACTCAATAAAGCAAAGACTAAACATTTTTATAACCTTTTCCTCTACTTCGTCTTCTTTATTGTTGTCTGGCTCCCGAGGGCTTGGTGTAAGGGTTCTGACTTGAGTACCTCCGGTTTCAAGTTCATAGGGTCACATTTCTCATTTACCATCTAGGAGGGATCTGACATCACAAACTGGACTTTAAAAGTGGGATATAGGCTTGGCGCGGTGGCTCACACTGTAATCCCAGCACTTTGGGAGGCCAAGGCGGGTGGATCACCTGAGGTCAGGAGTTCGAGACCAGCCTGGCCAATGTAGTGAAACCCTATTTCTACTAAAAATACAAAGATTAGCTGGGTGTGGTGGTGTGCACCTGTAGTTCCAGCTACTCAGGAGGCTGGAGAATCGCTTGAACCCAGGAGGCGGAAGTTGCAGTGAGCCAAGATGGCGCCACTGCACTCCAGCCTGGGCAACAAGAGCGAAACTTTGGCCCCTCCCTCCCTCCCAGAAAATAACCATATGTAAGTGTTGTTGTAGGAATCTTCAGCAGATCTCTTTGACACAGAGAAGGAAATTATAGGTCCCCCCTTCTCCAGGGTCTCTCAAATAGATTCATAAAATAGTCAAGAGAAGAGCTTCCGAGTGGGAGTGAAAAGCCCCTCTGTGTGCAGGCTCGCCCTTGGGTGACCTGAGCTCAGTCACTCCCCCTCCCTGGGCTGCTGGCGAGTGGTAGCTGGGGCACTGCCATTTCTCTGAGAAGGTGGCTTTTAAGTATCTCTGCTCTGGTGAGGTTTAAAGAGTCCCTCACTCTTCGCACTTGACACTCATCCAGACCAGTGGTTCTCAAACATGAGTGGGCACCAGCATCACCTGGAAGGTTGGGTAGAATGTCTGATGGGTATGTCTGGGGTGGGAACTGAGAATGTGCATTGCTAACAAGTTCCTCACCTTGGGAACTTCTGGTCTAGATGCTTCATTTTTACGGGAACTTACAGACTTTTGGCCAGTTTATCTAAACTTAGCATGTGTTTATTCTACAGATAAGGGGAAAGACCCACTTCCCAAAATACAGGAAACACTGAAAAGTTCAAGAATCAAAAGGGCCTGGCCTTCTCTGGGGGATGCCCTCAGTCTCCCATCCTGTAGGCTCCAATGACACCATCCCCATCTCTGCACATAGCCCTCACCACACAGCTCAGGATTCATTTGGTCAGCTTGTCAGTTCCCCCAAGCTGAGAGCAGGGGCCGTAGATTCTCCGTAACTTTACACAATCTCCGAAATCCCCATAGTTCTCTTTACCACTCAGCAAAGTTGCATGTAGACAGCTATTCAAAAATAAAAATAGGCCAGGTACAGTGGCTCACACCTGTAATCACAGCACTTTGGGAGGCTGAGGAGGACGGATAACTTGAGGTCAGGAGTTCGAGACCAGCCTGGCCAACATGGTGAACCCCATCTCTACTAAAAATACAAAAATCAGTTGGGTGTGGTGGTGGGTGCCTGTAATCCCAGCTACTCAGGCTGAGGCATGAGAATTGCTTAAACCCAGGAAGCGTAGGTTGCAGTGAGCCAAGATCACTCCACAGCACTTCAGCCTAGGCAATCGAGCAAGACTCCATCTCAAAAAAAATAAATAAAACAAAAGTAAAAATAATAGCTATCTTTTTTTTTTTTTGAGACGGAGTCTCGCTTTGTCACCCAGGCTGGAGTGCAGTGGCGCGATCTCGGCTCACTGCAAGCTCCGCCTCCCAGGTTCACGCTATTCTCCTGCCTCAGCCTCCCAAGTAGGTGGGACTACAGGCTCCCACTACCATGCCCGGCTAATTTTTTTTTTTTGTATTTTTAGTAGAGATGGGGTTTCACCGTGTTAGCCAAGATGGCCTCGATCTCCTGACCTCATGATCTACCCGTCTCAGCCTCCCAAAGTGCTGGGATTACAGGCGTGAGCCACCGCGCCCAGCCTGGCCTACATCTTCTTTTCTTTAAAAAAAGTTAAAAGTGGCTGTGGCTAACTCATCTCCCAGTTCCTGCCTGCACTGCCTTCCCTGCCTGTGCCCCGAGCACCTGGACCTTCCCCAGACCTTGTCACCCACATACTGTCTTGTCCTCCCTCCCATTAATGAACATTTCCAACACGCTCTCCCTTGACAGATGGCTGCCTTCCCCTCCTGCCATTTACCACCCTTGCACTTAAGCTTGCCACTGCAAGGCAACTTAAATAAATTTTTCACGCACAATGGTATGAGATGCTATCAAATGCTTGAAAGACCCAAAGGGAAAGCCTTGGTAATTGGTGGGGATGAAAATACACAGGAAAGATGGGTGTGTTCTTTTAAACACCCAGCAAAATATGTCAAGCTATCTTCCTCCACTGGAAATGATTAAAGAATGGCAGAAACTAGGAAGGAGGTTCTTAGGGGGAATAGATGGGCAGGATTCTTGGTGAGGTGGAAGAGAGTGGTGGGATGGAGTGATCATCCGCTGCTTCTGTCTGCCCTGTACCTCTTGCACTCCTTCTCTTCCTTGAGGATGTATTCCTATCCACCTCTGCTCATCTCATTCTGGGGCTTCCCATCATGGTAATCCACTCTCCCTTCTACAGCAGTGACCCACAACATTCCAGTACCTTGTTCAGGGACAGGTACAGTACCATGCATAAGACCCAAACAGGACCAAGTCAGACACTGGGAGGAAGAGCTTCCTTTCCCATTCAGATGGTAAGTGTGATCATGTTAGCTTGGAACCACCAGTGGCCAAAGCCCCTGCCAGGGAGAGGAAGCCAGTCCTTAAGTAGAGAGAATGAGGCCCAAAAAATCAAGAAAAGAGACAAGGGAGCAATAAAGGATGGAGCAAGGGATGATCATGGTGGTGGTGATGACAATGTTGATATCATGTGAATCCCTGGAGCGTGCCATTCCTAAGGCCAACTCCTTGTCTTTCCAGTTTCATAAAAACCAACATATTTTCCTTTTTAGCTTAAGCTTCGAATCTTTTGAGTTGGGTTTCTGTCACCAGAAACTCAAAGAGTTCTGGTGGGTTAATGAAATTATGAGATAAAAATGGAAGGAAAGACGGCAATTGTAAATAGCCGTGTTGACTTGTGGCTTCAGTATTGGATGGTGCGGTTCTTAGTCCTTGCCATTCAAATGTGCTCCTGGATGAGCAGCATAGGTATCACTGGGAGCTTGTTAGAAATGCAGTATCTCTGGCCGCTACTCCAGACCTGTTAAATCAGATTCTGTAATTTGACAGGATCCCCAGATGATTCGTATGTTCAGTAAACTTGAAGAAACTCAGCTCTGAAGACACTAAATGACTCCTCCCCAACCTCCTCCAGCACACTAGAACTCTTTGAGTTTCTAGTGACAGAAACCCAACTCGAAATATTTGAAGCTTAAGCTAAAAATGAAAATATGTTGGTTTTTATGAAACTGGAAAGACAAGGAGTTGACCTTAGGAATGGCAGGCTCCAGGGATTCACGTGATATCACATGATATCACTGGTGGTTCCAGTGGCCAAAAGTAAAGGGATGGGTGGTAAGTCTAATAACACGTCACTGGCCTGTTTGCAGAGGGTAGACCCTAGGGCCCGGGAACAGGGAGGCAGAGGAAGAACAGGGCAGAGAGTGCATGGTCCCCCAGCTGATGACATACTTGTCCTTCTAGGCCACCTGGTGCATAGCCACTTCCAACCAACAGTGCTTGGAAATGATAGCTCTCACTGGCCTGTCACAATACAATCCAGAGAGAACCAGGAAAGATGTCATCTCCCTCCTACTAATCCCTGAAAGCTCCTGTCTCCAACATCTCACAGCTGGACATACATATAAAGCACAGCAGAAAAATTGTCATTGCCCTGGGCAGGGGAAGGGGGTTGATCAATAAAAATGAATAAAAAATACTTCATGAGCACATCCCAAGACATGCTGCATGTTGAGTATCCTGTAGAGTGTAAGAGGCATCCTGATCTTGACTCTGAGGAACTTAAAATCAAAGGGGGAGACCAAAATGTTCACCAGTAATTCTGAAACTTTCATCCATAACAAGCCCCCAAAGCACTACAGACAGCCCTAATCTGGATCCTTGCAGGAAAGAAATTGAACACTTACAATGAGTAAACTGGGAGTGGTTTATTAAAAAGGATTTTTATACATGTGTGAGCAGGGTTTGGAAAAACTAACAAGGGAAGATACAGAAAGACTGGCTTGAAGGGGCAAGGGATGGACAAAAGATGGCAAATACACACTAAACTTTCTGTCATACCCCACTCCACAACCATAGTAGATATTAATGATCAA